TTCTTATTCCGTAAATTATTACGCCGATCAAGCTGCAAGTAAAGGCAACAAAGGTGTGAATTCGACATTCAACACCAATAACCGAACAATTCAGACACTTTTAGCCTGCGAAAATGAAAACAGCCTGAGGGCTACGTAATTTCCTGTTTGTCCACGCTTCGTTTTCGTGTCATTATCAAAATTACTGCTACCTTTTTACATAACACGGGTGGTCTCTATAAAGCGATAATCAGGATCGCAAAAAAAATAAAATCATTTGAAACACATACTCAGCGTCTCTCTCCCTTCTGAAATCCGTCTCAGTGATCATGGGCTGGTCCGGAATCTATTTTTTCGAAAACTTTTGTATTGTCGGCGTTTCTCGTTAAAATCTAGTTTTGTCCTGGACAAGGACAGTTTTTCAAAAAAAAAAAAGAATCTGGGGTGAAGTGGACCCTGCATATGACGCTGTTAGGAGGAAGTCCACCCGAACCTTTTCTCGTTATTTTCACGGCTTTCGTCCACCGATTTCGCACCTTCGGATCGATTGGAAACATGGAAATACTTACACTATGACTATATGCATTACTGCAACAGCCCACAACACAACGTTTAACCACCATAAAAGTTTGTTGTGAAAACAACAAAAATAAAATAAAATAAAATAGACAAAAGAAATGCCGATTAAAAAATGTCTATCGTTTAAAAGTACAGTTGTACGTTAAATGACACAGTGATATAAAACAAAAGTACGGCCCAGGGGTATGGCTTCCTCTCATATTTTTGCATTTGGTGGCGCACTTTCGGCGAGAGTCGGAAATCCAGAAACAGTCTACCGTTTCAGGATAGGTGGGCACGGGAAATATCTCAAATTTACTTGGATACGAGTAATCATTTTCAGCAAAAAAAATCAATAATTGCCCATTTCAGTGGGGCACAGATCTAAAAAAATGAAAATACTTAAAGTAATTAAATAGATAAAATAAAAAATCTGATGAGGACTGTGAAAATAGTTCTACTGAACTAGTCTAGTCCACAGCCCTGCCATGCTAGTAAACTTATGTGCATAGGTCATTGACAGACAGAATTTCAAACTCTGGCAGTAAAGAAAGGAAATGCAGTCCTGGCGTTTGAGGGCGCGAACGCATACGCAGATTGACACAACTTGAAGGCTGGTATCACAGAAAATAGAAATTGTCAAATTTCGTCATAAATGCGTAAAATCTGGAAAAATATATGATTTTTATGTAATCGGACAACATTTTGCGATAGTTCAATGTCTTATAAGCACTCATAACTGGTTTGGACAAGGTATTTTGTATTTTGAGGTATGATTTTCGGCAGCTAGAAAAATTAGTGCACATTTTGTTTCCTCCCTTGTCTTATATATAGTGCAAGCTGATCGGCCGGAAACAAGTATTAGTGATTTTTGTGGTTTTGGAGCGTGATGATTAAATTTAATAACATATGCTTGCTTCACATTACTTAACTGTTTTAATTCCATAATTTCTATTATTTTGAGCAAGGGCAAGGTTCTGTACCGGGACATAGTCCCACGGCCCCATAGACGTCCACGCATTGAGACGAATAGATCGCCAAGCCCCTGTGATGCTGACTGTGTCCATCAAGGCTGACAAAAACGAATCACGGCGAAATCGGCAAATTTTCGACGTGTACTACTTTGAGCGTCGCCCAGTAAGTTCTTCTATAAACTCTGGATTTGAAATACAGGCTACTGACACCATGCCGCGGCACAGTTGCATTAATTTTGTAATAGCATGGTCACGGGTGGGCCCCGGAAAACAACAAGCATCGAACGCAGACTTACTTGCAGTCATCAAATGAAAGCGAAATGTGTCTGTCAACAAGTTAACTGTGACGTATATGGCTTCACCAATTCAACCAACTATCTACTCAATGGTGCACGAGGTAGTATATGACAAGTCCAATGCTCGTTTAGCATCTTACCTGCATTGATAAAGATGGTTAAAAGATACCGTGGGTCATTTCTTTCAAAACGAAGAGGCACAGTCAGCTAAATTCAAGATGGCGGATATTCAACTGCGCATGCCCATGATAATTTCAACTAATATTCTTGTATTTCCAGTTTACTTGAAGAAAACATTACTCAACATGGTACGATTGATGATACGAATAAGAAAGAATACATAGAAACAAAATGTGCGTCTATTAACATTCCTGATAATAAAAGTTTCAACAATTTTCATAAAGCTTCGCCATTGAATGAACGGTCAAAGGTCATCATAAAAAAAAATCAGCCAATCGCTGCACATCTTGCATCTGTCAAAAAAGATGGCGTCTTGAAAACAAGTACGATAGTTGTGATCGTTTTTCAGTTACCTGTTGGCTTCCGGCGTTTACGGAAAAAGTATGTATGCATATCAATGACATATTTTAAAACTGTTTGTCGTCCGCAACATCGAGACATAGCTGTGGGTAAAGCTTTGCCGAAATATAAGCAATACTCCGTGCTCGAATACCTACAGGTTGCATGCACTGTCTTGTTTCAACTCCAACGGTGGTTGAACCTTTGCCAGAAAGGTGTTTTGAGTGTGTGTGACCTAGGCTAAACTAGTACCGGTATCTTATTCAGACTCGAGCATAATGCAAACAAACTGATACCTCTACCTATTACTACTAGCTATGCTGAACATTTTCTATGCCTGATCATGTATGTAATTGTGTCGAAATGGGCGTAGTGCGAGTGGTTAGTGCTAGTAGCACCATAGACCCTCTAAAAGATCTTTTAGAGGGTCTATGGTAGCACTAATTCGAAAAAGTACTAGATCTAGTGCTAAAATGGCACTAAAATAGCACTAGATCTAGTGCTAAAATGTGCACAGTGCGAGTGGCATTGTTATCGCATTGTCAACGACGTCGAATAATAGGAGGGGCATCAACAACCACTTTCATATGCAAACTGCAAACAGTATAAAACATTGGCAATATGCGCGAGATGTCCATAATAATACTTTCTTTGGCACAGATCTAGAAGCAGTACCTACACACGAATTGGTGACGTCATAAAATACATGACCTTCAATCGGGGTCGTTTCCTCGGTATATACGAATTGGTATATACAAATTACAATAAAGATACTTAAGACATTACACATAAGGTAAAACAAATCACGTGACAATATAATGATAATAACGGTAATAAATCCTAGCTTAACAGTTGAACAGAACGCTCATATAGTCAGTCGGGTGACGCCGAGGGTCACGAACTGTGTTGCAAAATGGCCGTGTGGTTGAAACTGGGTCATGGCGTGAGGGGTGAGGAAGACATCATTAAACACTCAAAATCACAATAAAACGGGGAAGTGGTTGCATATTACGGCGTAGCCAACATGGGAAATAAAAAAAAACGCCCAATACAAACGACATGGGTTCGAATCACACTAGATACACACTCACCAGAACCGAAGCAATCAGAAACCAGCAATCGTTTTGGCTTTTCCGTTCAACTCATCGGAACACTGGAGTAGTTAGAAAAATGAACACCACTTAACGACCAACGTCGTGGCGTGGTACACAAGCGTGCCATCAAAA